AGTTTTGTATTGTAATTTTCGGTTTAGTTATGACAATTTATATGTTTTTGATTAATAGCGTTTTGTAGAACGTTTCAGTGGTCCCATCACGCCATCAGTGGTTTCATGGCGATATCTCAATTTTTACTTAAGTTACAGCTTGCGCACACGGACGGACGGATCCTGATCATTTATATATATATAAACATATATCTATCTTGAATAATTTTATATGATACAAACAACCGTTAGGTGAACAAAATGATTATACTTTGTAGCAACATATTGCAAGAGTATAAAAATCATTTGCGCAATAGCAGGTATCTTCCATACAAACCACCTATCGGGATTCAATTTAGTCAGGATTTCGGTGTTTGATGATTCTTGCAAACTATCTATACTCCTCCAAAGTCCGATTGTCCCGATTAGACATATTTGCTGTACCAATCGTGTTTTATGTATGTCAACTCGTCTTCTAGGGTGCTTTTGATCTTCTTAGCCGTCCTTCATTCATTGACGTTATTTCGAAACTCACAATCAATCGGTTGCCGAATTTTGCCGAGTCTGACCCGTTGTTTCATGTACAGTAGACTGATTAGACTGGTTTTAGTTCATCTCCTGAAGTAAAGATGATTCGAAATTCCTTTCATTGGAATACCACATCTCGTTACTCACTTGCTGACCAACACCGCTACTTGCTCAGCCTCTTAATTAGGAATTGGGTATACTTATGGCCATTCTCTGAAATAGATCTTGACTACTAAGACATATATGCTTTCTTATTTATTTGTACCATGGATGGACCATGTACATAGCTGTAATGCACTCAGCATAGCTGGCCGACAACCAACTCAATTAAACCTTTTCTTTAATATCTCCAAGGTCGTTGTGACTTTCAAGTGCCCTCCACATGGACCGTTGTGCTGCTGGTTGAGAGCTACAGGAATACACTTTTCCATACTGCACCATCGCAGCCGGACCAGATGATGCAGATCATCAGAGCCTACAACCCGAATCTGCCAACTAGGGGCTGCAGATTTTTCAAGGCCTTCGACAACCCCACAGCGGAATCTGGTGTGGAACCGGGAAAATGTCCAGTTGAACGGAAACAAGCTTATCTAGCCCTAGTTAATCGCATGGCAGAAGAACGACCTGATTTCGTCCTCATTCAGGAGCCACGGGTTAATGGAGGGCGCATTTGCGGACTGAGGGTACTGGGGTATAATTTATACATAGCAAGCTGCGTAGGTAAGGCTAGGACACGTATACTAGCTAGTAAAAATTTTAATGTCTTCTATTATACAGCTATAGTAATAAAGATACCACAGCAGTAAGCTGGGAGACGGACGCAAATAAGAAGAGTAGGATAACTATTATAACCTCTTAAGCTCATATAAAAAAGAGGTAAGGAAGGCTAAAATAAATTCGTGGAAATATTTTTGTAATAATAGCACAGTCGAGACATAACAGCTGGACGGTATCCAGGGAAGAGTCTCTAGGGCTGCTAATGGATACTTACTTTCCAGACAGTTCAGGGAACCACACAAGGGAGCATACACTGGGCAGTGAAGTGAAAACAAAGTATTCTAATGTAGACGTCCACAGAGCTACTTAACTACATAATAAACTGGTTAACAACCATGCTTGATTAGATTATGGAGGAAAGTCAAGGTGATATACTTGTATTATACATACCAAATGCAGAAGCTCACACACCAAGTCAAATGATTTCAGACCAATTAGTTTTTTCTAATTTCTCTTAAACACTTTGGAAAGGCTAATAGAATAATACATAAGGAGCAAACTAAACCCAGGAAAACAGAAACAGCGTTAAGATCAGTGGTAGCAGATATTGAAAGGTCTCTGGATATAAAAGAATACACCCTCGCAGCTTTCTTAGACATAGAAGGACATACTTAGCGTAGTACAATATTTGTGTAGCAGAAGGTAGAATGGATACCCACTTTTAAAGGAAAATCCACAGAAACAGTTCTAAGGTCAGTGGTGGCGGAGATTGAAAAATCTCTCGATGTTAAAGAATACACTCTAGTTGCTTTCTTAGATATCCAGCCTAGGGCCATACTGAGCACGCTTTAGGATCTGGACATCTCTGAACCTCTTAGAAAATTAATTGAACAGATGCTCACGAGCAGATCAATAATTTCAATGCTGGGAGCTTCGACGATGTGCAGATCTGTCCAAAGAGGTACACCACAAGGAAGCGTGTTATCCCGACTTCTCTGGACTCTAACAACGAATAATTTGCTGTTGGATCTAGAAAAGAAGGGAGTACTATTGTGACTTACGCTAACGATGTGGCAGTTTCGGTTAGAGGTACCTCTAGCTAACCTTATGCAAAAAAAATTAAATGATATAAATCGTTGAGCTGTATCGTGAAGACTAAACATGCTAGTATTGTTCACTAGGAAACACACTACTCCAGAAGTTACGGCGCCCGTATTAAATGGTAACAGACATAAAGCAATCTAATTAGGACCAATTTTTAACATGTGAGAACTCATGGTAACCAAACTAAGACGCTAGGGTGAAGAAAGCAGCTACAGCACTTTACACCTGCAAAAGAATGGGCTAACGCTTCTGGTCCCAATATTGTCTTCCCTTTCAGAGAAGAGTGTGAAAGGAACCAAGTGGACAGGGATGCAGAGATAAGCATCTTTACCATGGCTCCAGGTAAATAAACGAGTGAGAGGTGGTGTCTTTTCAGCTTAATTAGATACCAAAATCATTTTGCGTTTACCAGGCCACTGCAGTGTCTTCCAAGCAGAGATCACAGCAATCAAAGAAAGCCTTGTTGTTGACATAAAGTGTGCTCACAACAAGGAGTATATTTTTATTTACGAATAGCCAAGCGGTTTCGAAATCACGAAAGTCTCGTCAAAAGGCAGAGCAGGCACCACCCAACAGTTAGACTCCTCTGGCCACTTGTAAAAATTTAATCAACGAAAACGTTACAAATCTAGGTGAGTCTCAGTGGAGTCAATCCCTGACTTGCTCATAGCCGGCAAACGTGGCATGAATGGAGCATGTGCCACAAAACCCATTATTAAAATGTAAAAGGAATGATATAATATAAGAACTTTAGTAGGAGTGCCAACAGGTCACTGTCTAATTGGTGGACATGCTAGCGGGCTAGATCAGAGGAAGCAGTACAATTCGCATGCGTCGTTTGAGCGAATTGCCATGAATGTAGTTGATCCATTTCCCAACAGTAAATAAGGAAACAAATATGTTTCGATTGTTATGGACAATTTTAGCAAATGGCTAGAGGTATACGCAATTCCCAAGGAAGAAGTAGGAACAGTAGCGGATGTATTCATCAACAATTGGGTATCGAGATATGGTGGTCCAATAGAAGAACATTCCCACTAAGGGAGTAATTTTGAATCATCTCTAATTTAGGAGATTTGCCAGAAACCCGTACGAATGCACTACATCCGCAGTCCGATGGCATGGTAGAACGATTCAATAGAACTTTGGAAGGACATTTGAGGAAAGTTGTGGACAAGTATCAAAAAGATTGGGATACCCATATATACTTATTCCTGATGGCTTATCGTCTGCTGTACATGAAACAACGGGGCAGACTCCAGCAAGGGTAATTTTTGGTAATGATTTTCGAACCGATGGATTTGAAATTTGAAAGTAACACCAACGGAGGAAAGAATGGTAAGTCAGCAGCATTATAGAAGACAAGAAGATATACAAGCTATAGTGAGATAACGCACCAAAATTATGAGCGATAACATGAAAGCAAACTACGACAAGGCAATGAACTCTGAGGGTTTTATTGAAGACGATTGGGTATTGTTATATAACCTGATTAAACGAAAGAAAGGTCTATCTCCTAAATTACAGTGTAATATGGAAGGACCGTAGAAGGTTATTAAACGGCTCATTGGAAGACTAAGGAATAAAACGAAGGTAGTTTAACTGGAACGGCGTGTGGTATCGCAAATTTGGGCCCCATCAGATTTAAGTGGATGGCAGTGTCGCGAACACGAATGCCAGAACAAAGCAAAATCAACGATTACTTACTAGAACCAACTATATAGCGAAATTACTTGTTGCCAGAGTGTTCAAAAAGCGTAGTTTTCTTAGCAATCTACTATATAAGATGTGCCGGAGTGTGCAGCAAACACTATTCTAATTAGAGCGTTGCGTGTAAAGAGCAATTGAGCTATAAGCAATAAGTTGTAAACTCGAATAACGAGTAATAAGTGTTAAGTGGTTGGAATTAAAAATAGGGATAAGTGTAAAGTGATCATTCAGTGATCGAACTCAAGTGTGATCGAACACAAGGTAAACAAGGATTTATCGAGAAATCCGTTACAATATATTATGATTATGAGCAACGAAAGAGTTTCCGTCTGAACGCTGTCTAGCCGCTAATTTTTCTAATAGTTATTACAACTGACAGCACATGGTATGAGCTGGTTAGAAACTAATTAAGACTCCTTCTTACGGTTTAGTTTACCAGAACTTAACTGGCAGATGGCTGCTTACCAGATATTGAGAAACCACGTTTTACACATATTGCCGCTAAAGTTCAGATTAAGCGCTTAACCATATAACAAGAAACAGCCAGTAGAACCATATATGAATTTGGATCGTGTTCCGTATATAGAATTAATGGATCACGGGTGAATGTTACTCGTTCAATTTAAACCACGTTATAAGTCGTATATTGTAGAGAAAGATTTAAAAAGATAGTTTGGTTTAAAAATGTGTTTAATATTTCATTCGCTTTTCTTCAAAATGTTGCAAGAAGAAACGCAGAAACGCAGCCAATCCTTTAAGAAATAAATTCAAGGACCAAAACGTTCTACGAGTCATTGTTCTCACCTGCTATCTAAAATTTCTTAAATTTTTTATTTATATATATTTCGTTCTTTCGTATCGCGAATTGATATACAAAATGTACCAAAATTTCATAATTGATCTCATAATTCACATTCTGCGACACCGTTTTTAAATATTTTTTAAAATAATTTTTTATATTAATCGCGGTCTATTTATATAATATAATATTTCATTCGAAATGGTCAATAAACATCACGATAAATATATATTGAACGTGTGGCATCCGATATTTCCAGTCAAAAGGCTCCGTTTAAGACAGCATGTTACAAAAAGCTGTGAGATCGCGAACATAAATTTTAATATTTTCGAAGCATATTGTACGCATTCGTTCTTTTGCGTGTGAACGGCATCCAAAATGGTAGTGATTTTTTTCTGTTGTTCTTTAATTAAATCCCATGACATCTTTTATATGTGGTGTGATATTTTATTGATACTAAAATGATTGTTTTTGTTTAGTTTTGTAGCTATTATGAAATTTCTTATTTTCTTAAATTCCTATGGTATTCCAGGTGAAAGTAAAGTGTTCGGAACTACGTACAAAGGATAAAAAGGAGCTGACAAAACAGCTGGAGGAGCTTAAAAATGAACTTCTTAACTTGCGTGTTGCAAAAGTTACAGGGGGAGCCCCATCAAAGCTTTCCAAAATGTAAGTACATGACACCCGCCAAATCAAATACCGTTCCATGATTTCAAGGTTAAAGCGGGTATATTTGGGTAGAGGGGATTCTCCAAATTAAGAATATATAGTTCATCACCAAAATAAGTATGCAGTGTGTTGATATGTCATGCGAATAAGCCTTAAAACTAATAATAACTAACATGGAACACTTTTGTTATTGTGTATTTAACGAAAATTGTTTAAAAGGTAAAGTGTTAATTAAGGTAAATGTATCGTTTAGGTCCCCCAACTAAGGAGGCCTCAAAAATAAAATTTTCTTTAAATCGTCTTATATTTACGCGTAGATTACAAATCCGTGAGCGGAAAGTAAATTTTTTCCATAATTTATGTATATTTTTCAAAATTTATTTAACACACTTCGCACATATTCGAGTTACTTAGTTGTTGTTGTAGCGGCAAAATTCTATAGAATTCAGATCACTCGGCTGTAATTACCAGTTCAGCGTTTTTCTTCATTTTCCTATAAAATAAATATACTGAAGGAATGTAGCAGTCCCAATTTCTTTTGCGCCGCGGTCAGATGGTATGGACTAATATCGGACACCGTCGAACTCTTTTCCGCACTGGCGGCCTTCGGCCGCGCTTCAAAAAAATAACCCTGGTCGGTCCAAAACCGGGGTGTTCATAATTCAATCGCGTCAAACTCCTTGTCGCTGCTCTCAACCTCGATTATAATTTTCATCACGATGCAAAGTATGTGTAATTATTAATATCACAATAAAAGTGCGCTAACATTTATAAATTTTCAGAGACGTTTATGAAGAAGAGTAAATACACCAAAAAACTTGAACAATGTGATTTTTTGAAAGAAAAAAATAAAACAATTTAAATGTATCCCAATGGGAAAACTTTAGTATAACGTCCCACGCTTTCGGGGATAAAATGTGTATGGACGGATAGAGGAGATAGATATAGCGGCGGGAAACTTATAGTTTTCGAGATATTTGGGTTTAAAGTTCAAAATTTCGGCTATTTAAAGTACGCATTTTTCCCATTTCGAATGAGTTATACACTTATATTTTCCACTTTTATATCCACTAACACTTCACTAATTCGTTTGTACACATTTATTTTACATTATGTAGTGCAAAAATAGTTTAATTCAATAATTAAATTATTGTTAAATTCTACTAATTCTGACTAACAAAAGGGTTGCAAAATTTCAAATAACCAGTGTTACCTTATCGACATCTTTTGTAATTGAACTGAAAGAAATTAAAACAGATAATACCCCAAATACAGGAATCCAAAACCTAGAGAAATAAACTATTACAAAGCGTTGATGTTAAGAATTACGTTATACCTTCTATGACAATATTACTTTTTTCTTATAGAACTTCTTTTTGCGATGGTGGCCTTCGGCCGCGCTTCAAAAAAATAACCCTGGTCGATCCAACACCGGGGTGTATCAAGGTTTTTTTGCGTAGAACTTATTTTTGCGTTGGTGGCCTTCGGCCGCGTTTCAAAAAAAAAAATAACCCTGGTCGATCCAACACCTGGGTGTACCAAAGTTTTTACGCGCAGAAATTCTTTTTGCGTTGTTTCCTGTATCTAGGGTACAATCTCTCTGTTAATTTATTTTTCTTCGTTTACAAAATATATTAGTATGGCAACACTGATGTTTTGACATTCACAACCATTTTGTTATTGTCAAAATTAATAAAATTGAAGAATGATTTAAATATTGAAATAAAGCTATTTTTGCAGCATCTAATATAAAAAAAATTTCTAAAAACGAATTAGTCAAGTGTTAGTGGATATAAAAGTGAAAAATATAAGTGTATAATTCATTTTAAATCGCAAAAATACGTACTTTAAATAGTTGAAATTTTCAACTTTAAACGTAAATATCTCGAAAACTATAATATATCTATATATATTCTTTATCTGGAGGATCTCCTCTATCCGCCCATACCCATTTTATCCACGAAAGCGTGGGACGTTATTCTAAAGCCGACCCATTCCAATTTTTTATTTTTAAAGCATATTTATAAAAAAAAAAAAAATGTTTTGAAAAAATTAAAAAAAAAAATTGACCTTGAAAAAATTCACTTTCCACTCACGGATTTGTAATCTACGCGTAAAATCAATACGATTTAAAAAAAAATTAAATTTTGAGGCCTTCTTAGTTGGGGGACTTTAACTATACATTTACCCTAATTTAAAGCAAATAACATAATTGATATAAATTCAATGTGTAGAAATAAGATAAAATTTGTAAAAATGTTCAATTTAAAATGAGAACATCTCGAAACCTAAAGTTTTCCGGCGGCTATAATTATATATATTCTTTACCTGGAGAATCTCCTTTATCCAAACATACCTCTTAACCCTGAAATCGTGGGATGGTATACTAAAGCGACGCCGTGAATTTGATCAATAACTTCTTTTTTTATATTTTTTTAATTTTTTTTTTTTTTTTTTTTTTTGATGAATATGGATTAAAAATATAAAATTGTGATACATTTAAATTAATTCTCTTATTTTTTTCCGCTGCTGAAAGGAGGCCTCCTTAATGGGGGACCTAAACTATACATTTACCAAAAATTAAAAAGTCTGTACATCACACGGAAAAAGTATTGGCACATTTTCCCTTGATATTAGCAAAACTAAGAAACTAAAGAACAGTTAGTATTTTGTTGGCATACTATTTTGCTAAATAACAGCACTTATGTTGTCAGGCGGTTTGGCATAGAATGTACCAATTTTCTTTACGTACGTCGTGGGCTCTATGTTTGGGGTCATTGTCGTGTTGAAACGTATTTAATGTGCCCAAATTTAGCTTTGCAGCGCTCGTTTTTAAGTTTTCTTAAAAATAATATAAACTTGCTTTTTCATTATGCCCTCAATAAAAACAAATTTTCCCATACCTGCAGCAGCCATGCAACTCCACACCACTACGCATTGACAGCGGTGTTATATAGTGAGATTTTTCAGATCTAATGCCGTATTAGTTTTTCCCATACCCTCATTTTTCCATTTGAGCGGATTATATTAAATTTCTTTCATTCGGAAATAAAACTTGTAGCTGCAATGCTTGTCCCCGTAACTAGCAACTCGTTGTTCTTGTTGTTGTTGTAGCGCCAGAATTCTGCTGAGTTGACAGTTTGCCGGAATAAATCCGGGTTCGTTCCGGTTACGTAGACCCGACTGTCGCGGGAACGGTCTAGCAACTCGTGAATTGAATCTGTCCTCGGGTATCGCATTTCTTATGGTTTTGGGGTGAACTTCATTTCCGAAGTTTTCCTTCATTGGCGATTGGGATCTTTCTTCACTTTTCGTAATATTGAAGCACATTTCTGCCATTTATCTTGCGCGTCCGAACGATGCGTGCACCGCTTTCAAAATTTTCTGATTCCTTGTAGCGGTTAACGACACTGCAAATGGTAAAACATTTTCTTTGCATAATTTCGCCTATTACTGTATACATTTACCATTATTGTGCAGAATGAATTTCCGCTAAGATTGCGATAATTCACTTTGATTCCGAACCATTTCAGACTCTTTTAAACCGCGCAAAATAAATGAATATGAAATAACGGGATTTAACGCCTTTTCAGAAGCATTGCCAGGTAGATAAAATTTTTAATAAATTTGTTTGCATAAGACTGAGTGCCCATACTTTTTTCGTGTAACATGGGAATTTTTTTTTTTTACTTTATGAATCAATATGCTTTGACAATTCATTCAACTAATGTTATTGGTTTTTAAACGTATTTCAAATATATGTCTAATTATAAGATAAATATGATTTCCTACATTAAAGCGACCTTTGTCTGATGTGCCAATACTTTTTTTCACCACTGTAAATCCAAATGTTGCATTCTTAAAATTGGTGAACTTTTGTACTTTAAATGAAAATAATAACATATCTAATATATAATATAAAAACCTTCAAATCTCGTGCGGCTATATATATATCCGAAAAAGAAACAAAAAACATGTATTCGTAATCTGAAGTACCACCTCTGGTATGATAGTCTAAAGCCTAATTTTATTTAACAAAGTTCATGATAGACTTGGTGTATTATCTTGACCACCATTTATATCCATAAATATGTAAACATTTGCAATTAAAGAATATTTTCCAATTGTTTGTACTACTATTTTTATTTTTTATTTTAATGTTTTGCAGCCGAGTCGTACGCAAAGCTATAGCAAGAGTGTATATTGTAATGCATCAAAAGCAAAAGGAAAATCTTCGAAAAGTCTTCAAAAATAAAAAATACAAGCCTCTGGACTTAAGAAAGAAGAAAACCCGCGCCGTTCGCAAAGCTTTGACTCCTAGGGATGCAAATAGAAAAACTCTGAAGGAGATACGCAAGAGGTCTATATATCCCACGAGGAAATATGCAGTGAAAGCATAATGTATTAGAGATAAAAATTTTAAATAAATAATCAAACATTTATTTGAAGTAAAAGTTTTTTATAGTTGGTGAAAGTTTTGATTTGGTATACTGCTTTGTACGAAATGTTTAATTAATTTATTTTATTGCTACGAATTAACAAGTCTCCATTTCTATAGCGGAAAACAAGAGTAGAACACAAAATGCCAGATGTTTTAAGAGGATAAACCGTTGTTGTTGTTGTTGTTGTAACGGTTACCTAGTCCCCGTTTGGGTGATAAATTCCAGATTCGTTGTCGTCGAGGTCATCTAACGGGAGGCCCAGGAAACGAGCTGTTTCGACGGGGTCGGACCATAGAGAGAAGGGTGTTAGATGGGTGGGGTTTGTTGGGCATGCAAAGAGGTGGTTGGTGTCATGCGGAGACTCATTGCACGCAGGACATGTGTTTAGTATGTCGGGGTCAATTCTGGATAAGTAAGAGTTTAACCTGCTACAATATCCAGGACGAAGTTGCGCGAGGGTCACTCTGGTTTCGTGAGGCAACTTGAGCTCTATGTCTGCTATGGGTGGTGGTTTGACTAATATTACGCCATTCACTGAGAGGGAGTCTGTCAAGGTGTTGATGGCTCCACTGTGAATGGCGGTCAGTGCCTGTCTGAAGTTCGTTGCGTCCGAAGTCAGTTCGGCGTACTGTCTAATGTCGTCGACGTAGTCAAGGAAGGACCTCTTGATGTTCCTAGGAGGCGGCTCCGCTACAGTCAAGCGACTACAGGGGTGGTTTCTACGAAAACACCCCAGTAGAAACTGCTTGGAGTTCGTTGTGTTCCTTAACCGGAAGCATACGGGCCTCACTATGTAGGTGTTCGATTGGAGACATCAAGAGGCATCCCGTGATAGTTCGGAGTGCAGTGTTCTGACAGGTCTCTAGCTTCTTCTTCTGTGTGTCACTGCATCTAGGCGACCATATTGGGGCTGCGTAATTTAGGACCGGCCGGCCGATTGCCTTGTATGTTGCCAGCAACGTTTCTTTGTCTTTTCCCCAGGAGCTGCCGGCAAGCGACTTGAGGATTTTGTTGCGGCTCTGTCCAAAGTAACGCCTAAAATTTTAGGATTATTTACTGTCGGAATTTTTGTGCCATCGACTGAAATATTCAGGTCCAGTCTGTACTCCTTCGTCCAATTTGTGAAGATGGTCGCTGTGGATTTAGTGGGAGAGAGTGTTAGGCTCCTTGCAGAGAAGAAGCGAGAAAGATCGGAGAGGTAGCTGTTTCCTTTTGAACACATGCCATCGATTCCATTTCCCGACGTCAATAACGTACAGTCATCAGCGTACGAGGTCACTGAAATTCCCGCTGGTGGCTGGGGGAGTTTCGAAATATAAAAATTAAACAGTAGTGAGGAGAGGACACCACCCTGCGGAACCCCCTGTTTAATTTTCCTAAGTTTGGAGTTTTGACCTCGAAACAGTACGGATGAATGCCGACACTCAGGTAGTTCATAGTCCACCGCTTCAGCCCTGGAGGGTGCGTTGATTGTTCTAGGTCCTCAAGTAGCGTTGTGTGATTGACTGTGTCAAAAGCTTTTGACAAGTCCAACGCTACGAAGATCGTCCTCTCGCAGGGTGGCTTCTGGTTCAGGCCATGAACTATCTGGGCGTTTATGACGCTAAGTGCTGTGGTGGTACTGTGCACTTTACGGAAGCCATGCTGATGATCAGCTAGGCTCAGGTGGTGAGTGAATGACGGGTGTAACAAGGCCTCAAGTGTCTTCACTACTGGGGAAAGGAGAGTTATCGGGCGATAAGACTCCCCTTTGTTTTCCCAGGTTTCAGTAGTGGGACCACTCTTCCGACTTTCCACACATCGGGTATTTGAAGAGTGGATATCGACAGGTTGAGGACCCTGGTGAGATAATTTACTCCCGTTGGGCCTAGGTGTTTTAGCATCAGCATGCTTATTCCGTCAGGGCCAATGGATTTAGACGATTTCGCCTTTTTGATGACACTCTGAACCTCCCCATCGGTGAAAGTAAGTGGTGCGCAGTCTTTTGGCATTTTGCGCAGCCGTCGGGTAACACGACGTTTGGCCTTGTCAGTCGAAGGGTGCAGTGTAAATTGTCGGCTGAAATAGCTCGCGCACTTCTTCGGACCCGATCGTCATGTCTTCTCGGATTTGACAGGGCCTTGACAGTAGTCCAAAGCTTACTCACACCGGTGGAGAGGTTGCAGGACGATTTCTCGATACTCGATCACTGGATTGTAAAATAAAAGTCCCAATTTAATGGCTTGTCTTTATTTCTAATTCTAATAACTAAACACTTATTGCTCGTTATTCGATCTTGCTACTTCTTGCTTATGTCTCAATTGTTCTTAACACAAAACACTCTAACTAGAACTGTCCGGCAACTACGAATTCGCTAACTAGTTGCTTCTGGCAATTTATCGTCGATTCGGTTTTGTTCTATCAACCGTTGGAAAACCTCTTCCAAGTGTTTAAGGTGTTCATCGAAGCTTTTATCCAACACCATGATATCGTCGAGGTATACCGTTTATTTCGATTGATATGTCGTTTTCGTCCATAGAATCTTCCTCAAGATCAATTTTGCAATTAATTACGGCCTCAATCTCTTGACACTGCCCTTATATAGCTCTTTTAGGAGAGTTTGATTGGTAACATGCACTCATTAAGGACTCTTACTGGAACACGTTTATCTTGTCTTGTCATAGCCAGAGTTTTTCCTATAAGTAAGTTTGGTGTAGACTCTTTTGTGGCCTCAACAGTCCACCACTTGTTTGACCCATAGTCTCCATCTATTTCTGCCCAAATAATTGCTTCTGATGTTGGTGGAATCTGCTGGCTCTCTTTTGTTATCACTTGTCTAACGTTGTACTTATTATCGTAACCGAACATAAGTGGCACTTCCATATTTCCATAGGACATAATCCTGTTTTTCATGTCAATTTTGATTCCTTGATTCGCTAGAAAGTCTACTCCAATTATGACTTCGTCAACGATATCTGCCACTATAAAATTGTGTAACACGGCTGTCTTTCCAATTACGATCTCGCACGTTACCTTTCCGAGAACTAGGGTATCTTCTCCAGTTGCAGTACGCAACTTTGCCCCAGCTAACGGTCTCACTTCTTTCTCAACCAGATCAGATCGAATTATGGAATGTGATGCGCCCGTATCCACAGTCAGTATGCGCTTTCTACCGTCTACACATCCATTAACGGTAACGTTACTCGTATTCCTGCTTATTTGTGAAATGGAGATTACAGGGCATTTGCTTGCGGGAGCCAGCCCGTGCCCTTTTCGGCTGGCTCGCTTTAGTTTAACAATTGGTTGGATTTGACATTCGCCTAATCTTCCTCAGCTTTGCGTTTACGTCCAACTGGATTATTGGACTGGTTTCAGTTGCGTGCAATATGGCCACTTTTTCCGCAGTTAAAGCATTTAACCACATCATCATTTTTCTTACATGCGTCCGTAGATTTTTCCAGTGTTTCTTGCATGTTGTCTATTTTTTCAAATAATTGGTTGACCCAAGTGTGTTCCTCTATTTCTACTTTGTGAGTTTTAAATTGATTTTGATTGCAAAGCAGAGATGCAGTTTCCTGTGTCAGAGCATACGAAACGGTTTCTGCAAACGTCAATTTTTGACATGCTAATGCAGCGAATCGTGTAGTGTTATCTCGTATTCCATTGACGAAGGATGGAGGTTTTATCTTGGCAGAATTTATGTGGATAAGCTTACTTTATCTTCAGAGCTCTAACTATTTGAAGATACGTCCTTTCGAATTGAAGCCTAAAAGCATAGAACGGAATAGTGCTATCAAAGGATGGAGGTTTTATCTTGGCAGAAGCATTTCATCCCGCTCTTTCTAAATCTGTGACGAGACTTATGCTATTTGTGAGGTCATATGCGATATCCGTGTATCTTGCTCTTTCAACTGTGAGAACACCTGTGCTTATATACGTGCATCTTGCGTTGCCAACCGCCCTTCCAACTGTGTTGACAACCGCGTTTCTTACTGCGACATCTGCGTTGAAATCTGGGAAATACGTGCATCCTGCTCTTTCCACATCTGCGATACTGCAGCAAAAATCATGTTTATGTACACCATCTTTGACAAGCATTGAGCCTATTCCTTTTCTTCTATCTTTGTTGTCTCTTCCTCTAATTCCATGTGAAAGACATATTCTTCAACATTAATGTTTTCCGTCTTTATGGTCTCTTTCAACCGTGATTGTAATTCAGTTTTTAATCCATTTTTCGCCAATCCACGATGCTCCAGCTCCTTTTTCAATTGTGGAATCTTCAAATCGTTAAACTTTGTCCTTTTTAAATAATTATCTCCTTGGTAATTTCTTTGCCAATTCTACTTCTGGCATCAATTGTAACGCATTTCTCGATAACATATGTATTCAAATTTACAAGTCATTCTGTCAATTAATTCTTTTTTTCTTTACAAGCCATTTAAAGTTGACGCGTCAGAGTATTTTTTTAAAAGGGGAACAAATTAAATATCGCGCAGTGATTAGAGTCTTTGTTTTGAAAGGTTTATAAGCAAAGGAAATTTAGGAAAAATTGTTAGAAGAGTATAAGGAGTTCTCACCCTAAAAACGCACCGTTCATTTTAGGGCTGGTGAATTTAAATGTGGTTGAACTAGGTATCTCAGACGAAAGTTAGTTCCGCACACGTTAACAGTTCAACAAAAACTGGATCAAAACTAATTTCTCAAAATAATTTGGAGCGTTTTAAGCAGAATAAAACCAATTTCTTGCGTCGTTTTATGACTATGGATGACACGGGGATCTCACCATGATCCTAAATTGAAACAAGAACGTTTACAGTGGATTGAAGCTGGTTGTTTAGCTCCAAAGCAGGTGAAGTCACAACGATCAGCAAATAAGGTTATGTCATCAGTTTTTTGGAATGCAAAAGGAATTTTGTTGATTGATTATCTGCAAAAAAGTAAAAAAAATCAAATCTGAATATTTGCAGCTTATTGCATCAGCTGGATAAAAAACATCGTGAGAAAAAACCTGCTTTGCAGTAGAAAAA